AATTCGTTCCATTTTGAATGCTTTATCGTGAGCACAACAGCAACATTGCGGGTTGGGAGGGGCACTGTCAGTGTGGATCATTGGGCTGTAGCCAAGATTTGAAGATCACCTGCTCCAGTCTTTTCATTTTATTGATGCTAGAAAGGCAAGTGACTTGCACAAGGTTTTTTTGGCCCTGAACATTGCTGTCTCTACCACAGATCCTTAGTGAAGATTATTGAGGGCAAGGCATGTTTTTGCCCTGTGTACTCTTAGAGTTAGCTTCCGGGAAGAGCAACAAAAATTGAAGAAAGACATACAAGAGCCAAGTACTCTACCCTGGCTGGGAGTTGGTACCTGGGGCTACCCATATACTCTAGCTCCGTGGCATCAGCTGCTGCCGCGTTGGGGTACTTTCCCTTGTCTTTTTCTAAAGATAGTTATTTCTTCACACTTGATGTTTGCAAAGAGTAGGGCTGCTCAAAAGAAAAAAAAAAACGAATTTGACTTTCTCGTTTGTCAAATATTTTCTTATTTGTGAGGGAAACTGGTAATCTTGGTTCATGAAGTCTGTGGAGGTTTTTATTTCATTTTATTTACTTTAATATCTGTTTTAGTTTTTGAACAGATAACACATTTAGGTGTCAGAAAGTAAAAGTCAGTTCAGGACTGAGAAAGTAAAGATAAGTGCCAATTATAATCAGTCAATGATGTACCTAATAGACATAGACAGGACCAGTGGCAAGGCCAAGGAAAACAGTGTTTTTTCCCAAGGCCACACTACATCAGCTAAATGATTCACAACCTTTTTCTTTTTAGTCATTGCCACTGTCTTACCAATGACTCCACTCTTGCTTTGTTCCTCATGCCTCTAAAAAGATTGCTGAGATACCCAATCAAGAGCTGATCCTTATGTCCCCTAGACTCTCCTCAGTCATTCAGCAGAAACCCAACTCCTAGAAAAGTCCCTCCTTATTCCCTTGGTGTCTCTGGTGTAAAATCTTCCAGGCAGCAACAAGCTAATAAACCTAACTTTGTTTGACTACAGGTGTGTTCCT